GTTCACCAATCAGCTGCAATCATATAATAATTATCGCTTTAATTTTGTTTTTATTTAAATATTTGGGCTTAGAAACGCATGACGACATGTCATTCTATAGACCTCGTAGTGTAACCAAATTCAGACCCAGTCTGAAGTAGGATACGGATAAATATTTTCACTCTTACGGAGTAAGTGAAGGTACAACTTTTCAGTTCACATATTCATCAGACCTAACCTTTAGTGCATGTGTGTCTAGTATAAAAATTCAATGCCTTTTTACGAAATATTTGTGACCTAAGTCTTTGTGCCAAACGACCTTTCGGTACACTGAAAAGTGACCCTATTTCGTTTAGAAATGGTTCAAGTAAGAATAAAAAACTTTTCAATTTTGCTAAATTATCATCTTAGTCACTTTTAATGATATATGTGGCAGTATTGATGCACCATTTAGAGGTGCCAAAGCTCCCGAACTAGACTAGACTGAACCCGTTGATATTTATGCTACAGGTTACAAGTAAACAAAGCAAAGATTCAATTATCGTTTTGCTGTTGTGTGATGATGTTTAGTGGGACAGAATGTTTAGGGGTATTGAGTTCCAGAGATGTGTGTAATACAAAAATTTCATTTTCATCTTGACGTCATTGTTTCCAATAGCACTTCTCGAAGCTATTTTAAGTATCCTTTGCTTCTCTAGAGTTCTGCAATTACTCACCACATTTCAAACTTAAAAGAATACTGCGAATATAGGCTTAAATATTTTGCTCCTCATTTTCCCAGTTTATTCTGCGTAAAACCCACTGTCTTCTGCGTTCACATGTAAGGAAACCGGAGTTGCCAAGGGATCGAAGGCAGTTGACGTAAATGAAAACTGCCAGTTACCACCGCTGCTGGCTGTGTGTAGGTGTATGGCCATGCGTGTTTGCAGACCGTAGGCCAGGGGATAATGGGAAGGTGTAAACGTTGCCCGGACAAGGAGTCTGATGAGGAAGTGGATTTCCGCTCTGGAAAGAATTAATCCGCAGCCGGTGCACCGCCGTCTTCGAGAGGTGGACCTTCGAAGGTTAAACAGGATTCCGCAATGTAAGTGACGCCAAATTTTATATCAAACAGACCTAGCACAATGCATAGCGGAACCCGGGCGATGCTAACGGGAACTGCAAAAAGGGCATATTGACCGGATGTGACTATGACGAAGGTGGCAAGGTGGAGATATGAAGCTTGCCAGAATGACACGTCTGTGTCACCTATCCTACGGGCATGGAAGCCAGTGAGAAGTGGTCCCCCAACGCGGGTGTATGGATGAATTTTTTTTTGTTATTTAACTTAAAGACATTTATAAGGAGGAAGCTAGGTGTAGAGGTCATTTGTGAAGGTTGTGTGACAGCAGATCGCGTTCCTACGGATGTCTACGATTGTATGGACGAGAGGAACGGAAAGCCAATGGAAATGGGTGAAGGCATTAATGTGCAATGGTGAGATTAACTATGATTAAGGGTCTTGGGGACGGTGGCGAATGAAGTTAACCGTAGCAGGAAAATCGCGCATGTTTGATTAACTGCTTCATAGAAGTCCCAAGCATTGTTTAGCTAAGGCCATTCGGGACGCTAGTGGATACTCTAGTAAGCTGGGAATAAACAACCAGCCAGATGGAAGGCCTTATGAAACCTATCGAAAATAAACCCGGAAGTCTTAGCTGGTCTTAGTTTGGCTACGTGGACGCGTGAGCGGGTAGATGATATACTGGATAATTGAGTTGAAGGGAATATGAGAAATCGGATTGGTGAGAGGGGTTGATAACGTTTAAATGGAGTTTGTAAGGACTTCTGTCATTTACATTAAATATACTGAGTGAAGTCAACTATGTATTATGGCCGATAAATCAAACGAAGATCACATTCAAAGTCCACGAATTATGTGTTCGAGGATGAAACTACGAACAATTTATATGTTTCCCGAGATAACATACTTTGGAAACAGAGCAATTTGAAGCCCTCGTTACAATCTACCAAAGCTGCAAATAAAGCCAAGGGAGTGCTGTACGCTATCAAAAGGGCGTTTCTAGCCTTCGACGAAGATCTCTTTGTCAAAGTGTACGGTACATTCGTTCGACCACGCAAAAAATATGGCATACAGGCGTGGTGGCTATGGCTAACAAAAGACACATGTCTCGAGAAAGTGCAGCGTCGGACAACAAAGCTAGTAAGAGATCTAAAGAACCAATCTTACATAGACAGATTGGCATGCCTTAATGTATTTCCTCTGCATTACAGGCAAAAAAGAGGGGATCTTATCTTAGTTTACAAGATAATACACGGTCTTGAGAAAGGATACTGCTTTGAGGACATGTTCCAGTGGCACCTGTCGCCTCATCCCCGTGGGCACACAATGAAGCTGCGCAAGAAAATGTCCAAGCTCAACCTCCGCTCTGAACTCTTCACGCAACGGTGCATACAACAGTGAAACGTCCTCCCCCAGTCAGTCGTGGACTCAACTTCCTTTCAGTCGAGAAGCAACGCTTGGATAATCACATGCGTCCCCTCTTGTCCCTCGAAGTCTGAACTCTAACTATCAGACTTATTTGTTAAAACAATGTTACTCACTGTTTGCCAATACTGTGTTAGTAGTGATAATTTGTATATGTGCATGTACATGTGTGTGACGCACCGGTATTTAATCAATAGGGTTTTCAAAGACATTGCCTATTACTCTCACCAAATAAAGTGAAAAACTGAGACGTGATTTCGTTTTGCCTATCGATACCTGAGGCGAGGACTTAAGGTCGACAGAAATATTATTAAAAAGCAAGACATGTTTGGATACAAAAGTAGTGAGCATTTTTTGCAGAGCCAAGAAGCAACAAAGTATGTATGTATATATATATATATATATATATATATATATA